CTACTACTACTACTACGGCTACCCCTACTACTACTACTACTATTATTACTACTACTACTACTACTACTACTACTGCGACAACGATTACGACTACGACTACGACTACGACTATTACTTCTAATACTTCTATTACTTCTATTACTACGACTACTACTACTATGACTACTATTACTACTACTACTACTACTACTACTACTACTACTACTACTACTACTACTACTACTACTACTACGACTACTACTACGACTACTACTACTACTACCACTATCACTGCTACTACGACTAGTACTACTACTACTACTTTTATTGCTACGACTAGTACTACTACTACGACTATTACTACTACTACTACTACTACTACTACTACTACTACTGCTGCTAGTGCTACTGCTAGTATTACTACACTACCACTACTACTACTACTCTTGCTACTACTACTACAAGTACGACAACGATTACGACGACAACTACTACGACGACGAGTACCAATACTACCACTACGACTACTACTACTACTACTACTACTACTACTACTACTACGACTACTACTACGACTACAACTACTACCACTACTATAACTACTACTACTACTACTACTACTACTACTACGACTACTACTACTACTACTACTACTACTACTACGACTACTACTACTACTACTACTACGACTACTGCTACTACTACTACTACTACTACTACGACTACTACTACTACTACTACTACTACTTCTACTACTACTACTACTACTACTACTACGACTACTACGACTACGACTACGACTACTACGACGACGACTACTACTACTACTACGACTACTACTACCACTACTACTACTACTACTACTACCACTACGACTACTACTACTGCTGCTGCTACTACTACTACCACTACTACTACTACTACTACTACTACAGCTACAACTACGACTACTACTACCACTAGTACTACTACTCGTACGACTCCTACTATTACGGCGACGACTACTGCTATTACTTTTAGTTTTTCTTCTACTACTACGACGATTACTACAACTACTACGACTACGACTACGAGTACTGCCAACACCACTTGTGCGGTGCTACTACGACTACTACTACTACTGCTACTACTACGGCGACTATTACTACGACTACCACTACGATTCAGATGACTACTACTACTACGACTACTACGACTACTACTACTACTATTTCTACTACTACTACTACTACTACTACTACTACTACTACTCTTGCTACTACTACTACAAGTACGACAACGATTACGACGACAACTACTACGACGACGAGTACCAATACTACCACTACGACTACTACTACTACTACTACGACTACTACTACTACGACTACACTGCGATTTTTGAAACTGTCGCCAGTTTCGAGGGCTGCTGAGGGGGGCCAGCACAGTGGGCACCCACCGCAGACTATAGTAGACCTCGCCATCCTTGGGGGGCTGCGATCTGTGAAACTGTCGCCACTTTCGATGGCTGCTGATGGGGCCCAGCGCAGTGGATACGCACCGCAGACTCAAATGGGACCTCGCCATCCCTGGGGGGCTGCGATCTGTGAAATTGTCGCCACTTTCGAGGGTTGCTGAGGGGCACAGCACAGTGGGTTTCCCGCACGTGTTTCTCCTGCTCTTCGCTCCCGACTCCCCATGTCCTCTTCGAGCCTGTAGTTGTCGCCCTTCGTTCTTGTATGGTTATCCTGCGCATCATGCCATTGGCGCGTGCCCCAAGTAGCTTACATCTCAAACAACGGATCCTGCAAGTTGATTGTCCGTGCAAGTTTCAGCCAACCCCTCGTTTCCCATGATACAAATGGGTTGGATACGTCACAGGGTAAGTATGCTTGCAACTACGATGGGTATTACTGGTATTACTAGTACGACTCCGACGATTCCTACGACTACTACTACTACCACTACTACCACTACTACTACTACTACTACTACTACTACTACTACTACTACTACTACTACTACTCTACTACTCTACAATACCACTACTACTACTACTCTACACTACTACCTACTACTCTACTACTCCACTACTACCTACCACCATCTAACTCTACTACTAACTACTACCCTACTACTACTACCACTACTACTACTGACGACTTAATCTCTACTACGACTACTACACTACTACGACTACTACACTACTACTACTACTACTACTACTATACTGACTACTACTACGACTACTACTACTACTCTACTACTACTACTATCTACTACACGACTACTGCTACTACTACTACTACGACTACTACTACCACTACTACTACTACTACTACGACTAACACACTACTACTACTACCACTACTACTACTACTATCTACTACTCTTACTAACCACTACTACTACCAAACTACTACTACTACTACTATGATTATTATTTAAATATTACTACTACTAACTGCTGCTACTACTACTACTACTACTACTAAACTACACTACCACTACGAACACTACTTACTAGTACGACTACTACTATACGCTACTACTAACTACTACTAACGACTACTACACTATACTAACTCTACTACTACGACTATACTACTACTACTACTAACTACTACTACTACTATACTCTACGACTACTTCTACTACTGACTACATACGCCTACTAACTCTACTACTACTACTACTACTAACTACTACACTACTAGTACTACTAGAAACTACTACACTAATACGACTACGCTACGCACTACTAACGACGACGACTACTACTACCTGCTAACTACTCTACTACTACTACCACTACTACTACTACTACTACTACTACTACCACTACGACTACTACTACTGCTGCTGCTACTACTACTACCACTACTACTACTACTACTACTACTACAGCTACAACTACGACTACTACTACCACTAGTACTACTACTCGTACGACTCCTACTATTACGGCGACGACTACTGCTATTACTTTTTTAGTTTTTCTTCTACTACTACGACGATTACTACAACTACTACGACTACGACTACGAGTATTGCTACTACCACTTGTACGGTGCTACTACGACTACTACTACTACTGCTACTACTACGGCGACTATTACTACGACTACCACTACGATTCAGATGACTATTACTACTACTACTACTACTACTACTACTACTACTACTACTACTACTACTACTAC